CCACATTCACACATACACACAACACACACTCACACACACTCACACACACACATTTTTTTTTATTTGCACATTTTATTAACCACAAAAAATGGCTTGGAGACCATACAAGCTTTATATATATATATATATTGTGTGTGTATATTCTTGCAGACTGATAACTTTCTAAAAGCATTTATAATATATTTTTATTAATTGACTTGGAAAAATTCTTTATATATATATATATATATATATATATATATATATTATGGTGATTATATATATTATGGTGATTTATCTTTATTATTATCAATATAGCTGCACCGCCATCAATTAACTTAATGAGAGAAATTTTACTACTAACATCAATTATATCATACTCAGATTTCTCTATAATCATATTAAGACTTATCAGATATATCGTTATATAAGTATACTATTAATTAAGTTGTGTGTGTTTATTCTTGCAGACTGATAACTTTCTAAAAGCATTTATAATATATTTTTATTAATTGACTTGGAAAAATTCTTTATATATATATATATATATATATATATATTATGGTGATTATATATATTATGGTGATTTATCTTTATTATTATCAATATAGCTGCACCGCCATCAATTAACTTAATGAGAGAAATTTTACTACTAACATCAATTATATCATACTCAGATTTCTCTATAATCATATTAAGACTTATCAGATATATCGTTATATAAGTATACTATTAATTAAGTTGTGTGTGTTTATTCTTGCAGACTGATAACTTTCTAAAAGCATTTATAATATATTTTTATTAATTGACTTGGAAAAATTCTTTTTGAAATAATAATGCCGATTAGAGGATGTCAATGTTCTAGAAATGTAAAGGATAAAGAGGCATTTCAGTGCTTTCAATGTCAACTTGCTTTTCACCAAGACTGTGTCGGAATAAGTAAATCAGCCTTCAAAGTTGTCAGTTCCATGTCTAATATTAAGTGGTATTGTGATGAATGCATGAAACTACTTCCTGGCGTAAAGTCATTGAATAAAGCTGTGCGTGATAGCAATGATGCGCTCAACACCAAAGTTTACAAAATTGAAGAATCGAACATTTTGTTGAAGAGTGAACTTGAAGCTATCAAAAGTTTAATTCAGAAAAATGTTGATAAGGCAGAAAGATTCGATGGCATTGATATGAGTACTGAGCTGTGTAGCCTTAAAAATTTTTTAAGCAAAAGTTTTGCTGATGTTGTCCGATGCGAAGTGAAGAAAAATATTGAACTAGTTAATGATGAGGTTAAAAGTGTTCAAAAAACTTTAACCAATGTTAATGACCTAAAAGAGAGAGAGAGAGAAAATAACATAATGATGTTCAGTTCGCAAGAAACTGATGAATGATGATAAAGATAGAGTCAAAAGAATTATTAAAAAGTTATCCAGTGAGGTCAAGGATTAGGATATTAAAAGAATTAATAGACTGGGTCTAAAAGCAGAAACTAAAATTAGACCGGTGCTGATTGAAATGAGGAGTTTCGCAATTAAAGAATTGGTCTTTAAAAATTCGTTTAAATTAAAAACTATGCTTGAAGATCTTGATAAAGTATGGATCAGTCATGATTTAACAGTTAATCAGCGTGCCGAGTTAAAAAAAAAACTAATTGTTGAAACCAAATCAAGAAAAGTCTCGTGCCCGGGTTTTTTATTCGGCGAAGTGATTTTTAGTGAAGGTATTGATCATAGTGCTGGTGGTGGATGTTTGTTCAGTTGTAGTGATTATGATATTTGTGGTTGTGCCACCTGATTTTGTGTTCATAGATTTTTTAGGCCGGCCAACCCTCACTATGGTGAAATAATTGTGTTTTTAAAAATTTA